GGCCCCCCCCCCCCCCCCCCCCCCCCCAAAAAAAAAATGCCGCACCTGCCCCTTTAAATTTGTACTTGGAAGATATCTTTCAGTAGGAAAATCAAGCCCCGACATCTAGTATTCGAAAAATCAAAGGAAAAGTCAAATAAAATGTGCCAATCAGGAAACAAACCATGCTTCGACTGATTCAGATTTACAAGTCAAATGCATTTAGAAAAACAATTTTTTTTTGCTTCAGGCGTTTGAAAACTCCTCTCGCCTTTCAGTCGATTAATTTAAAGAGATTTGATTAGATCTACGCGGACCTTTGATATAATCCCTGACAAATATGGATTTTTACTAGAAGATTAGAATAGATATTACATATAATCCATTTATCAGCAAGTTATCAAAGGATTCCGATTGCACAATATAGCCCGAGGTTCAATTTATATTCATACTTACCACATAATTAGATTTCTTTTTAGCACAGCAGAATCCCAGCACTCCAGTGATGATAAACTGAAAGTAGAAAAACAGACCTTTAAACCACATATTATCATGCAAGAATACACAGCAACTGGGGTGTGTGATTCGATATGTTAAGTCGACTACGATTCATCACTGATTGTAAGTCTATTTTTGTCGGTTAAATAAACGGTATCATTGCAACTACATAGATTGCATCATTGCCATTAGAGTTTAACTACACGAATCTTCAAAACAATTTGATTAATGCCAGATTCTCAAGAAAACACTCGGCACAACAACAAACAGGCACAAAGGAGGCATCAAGTAGTTCCACATTGAAAGCAAATATAACATGAACCACGAACTGATTGCACCAATAAGCTCCCCACAACAATGCAATTCAAATTGGACTGTCCTCAAGAATGCTTTTCACATTTGAATCTCTTTTTCGTGTTTCACTGATGTTCTATATGAAAATGATTAAAAAAAACATTGCAAAACAAAAGCAGAGATTTTTCCATGGTATCACGTTAAATGAATAATGTTTGCATATTTTTATAAGCCTTTGTTATCGCATACTTCGTATTTATCTTGATATTGTTTCTTTGTATTCTGCTCGACTCTGAGACTATATTAGTTTTGGTTGCGTAAACTGACAGGCTGGAAAAGGTTAATGTAATTAAAACGAAAGTTCGGATCATTTCAATAGACACTCCATTCCAGACATTATCCATTCAGTTGACAAATTGATCGAGTCTATAAAGATCTATATGTTTGATTAATAGGTCTATTGAACATTTGAAGGGTTCTTTCTATGAAACTAATGAGTTTTATCTCGAGTCAGGATTCCTGACTTCAGATTAGCTTCTATTGGTTTATATTTCACCAGAAACATATCCAAGTTTCATAGGCTAGCGTCTCAACAACCTATCATAGATAGAAGCATGTAAATTATTTGAAATGAAAGCAACTGATTTTGTATCTTGAAGTGCATGAGGTCAAACTGACATTGTGAAGATGTTCACCAGGGGTTTTTCTACTCTCAGGTGAACGTGCAGCGTACTTGAAATTAGTTCCACGTTATCTTGAGTCTCTGCTGACAATGTTTAATGCTCTTAGATTTATTTATAGGTTGATTAATAAGTCTTCAATGTTTAAATAAGAGATTCGTGGCAAAACGAAAACTATGCAGTGCACGTTTGCAAACATCCTCGTTATTTTTCGTGGAGATTCCAGTTATTTAACAATTCATAAAGACTTTTTGTGATATTTGCGTTATTTACTCAACCCATACTGCTATTTACATTTGACCAGTAGCAACTTCCAGTAAACAACTTTTGTCGGTAAATTGAAATTGATTATTGAAAATGAATATTTTTCAATTAACTCGAATTTGTCGAAGATAGACAAGTAAATAATATATTGTAAGTTTACATTATCTAAACACACTTCAAAGCCAAACATTTTAACCGAAAATGTCCCCATTTCGATAAAAAATCCGACATCTGACACGACCAAGGTATATGTATTGGAATTATGTGTCACTTTTTGTGGTTTTGTTTATCGACGAATTTATAGCTAACACAGTCTGATTTACACACCTTGTGATACTATTTAAAACAATTCCCGCAAGTCGCTAGTCCATGTAAATAAAGTAGAACTTGCTTAATAAAATTCTGACATGTGAAATCTGACATGATCAATCATAAAATTTAATATTTACTCAGTTAAGATTAATATTATTATAGTTCTTACCATAGAAAATTAATAAAATTTGATTAACCTCCACTCGTCTGATGTCAATTTTGGAAACTCATCAATGTGTATTTACATTTCCCGATCTAAAACTTGTAGACACTGGCCATTTCACTGTCTGAAAGATCTACTTGGTCGATTCCAGACAAGTTTTCTCTATCAATTTCAGTATTTTTGTATTATTATTCAATTTATTACCATTCCTATCATTTTCCATTATTTCTCTAATATTCTAGCTATGATTTTTAATAGATCGCTCATTTGACTTTGTCTGTATATGGAATTTCTAATGAGAACGAAATTTTTCAATGAAAGACCAGACTTAGTTCACTTAAAGGGGGACCCTGTTTGTAATCATATGACCCAAACAATTTTCGTCCAGTTAGTTTAACAAAGGTATATTAACGGGTTCAGACCACCAAGAAGCTAATCCAGAAAAAGTTTCGCATCATAATATAAAATTTTTTGCATAATTGTTAAAATTTGACACCACAGGTTATCTCATCGTTCGATTTGATAACTGAATTCAATACTGTTTTTACTTTTTGTCATAATTTAGCTACTGTTGCCGCAGAAAATCACATGAACAATTTAACCCCTTTTCGCCCATATATATTGTTTTCATCATTCATCGATATGTTCATTTCATAGCGATTTGTGTTATATTCTTACAAGAATATAGGTTTGGTGAATTGAGATTTATAGACTGCCTTCGAATACGTCTTAGTGGTAAGCTTTGTATTTCAAATAACTGTACCTATTTCAAACAGTAAAAGAAATGTGTCGTTATTAAATTTAATAATTCGTGCTACTTAATTTTACGAATGTGAAATTTCGTTGTGTTTTCATTTGAAAAAACGTAAGGGGAAAAAATCCAGATGAACTATACTCTTTACAAGCAAACGATGTACTTAGTGGCCGTATAACCAAATTATCATGACAATCGAGTTACCACTTGATTTCTTAGTCTTCGTGTTTCTAAATTCTTGTGGTAGCCTTCCAATTTATTCAAGAGCTTAAGAACAATCAATACGGTCATCTCTGTAGATTTCCTATGAGACAAGTATTTTGACTGTATAAGCTATAAGCCTTTAATGGCGCCCTGTAAGATGTACATTATATGCAGCACGATAAGCAACAGGTTAGTTGAGCGCAAGTTACCATTTAATCTCTTTGCTGGGTGCAGAAAAACTGGAATTAAAACCGTACTTTATTAGCTTAGAAATTAGAAGAACAGTAAAACATCAGGCCTAGTCTTATTATTTTATTAGTTACAGTGTCGGGGCATCTAAGATAAGGTCTGATATCTAAGGATTTTTAGTTCAGAAAGGCTACGATTTCAGATTACTGGCTCAGCAACTTGTAGATCAGTAGAAATTTCATATCAAATTATATAACAGAACCCCATAATCAGTAGGAAATTGTCCAGTTACCGAAAAATATAATCCAAAGCCAAAATTTGCTAAAGCAATACGTTACAGAGGTAAAACTAGTAACTGAACTTATCACAGAACAGCAGAGCTTCACTTGACCCCTTAAGCACTTGCATCTTAACCACATCTTAGTAGTCAAATGCAAAATAGATTATCGAGACTTAATATCTCATAGCCAAGCATGACATTGCATGTTAAATATTCTATACCATTTCATTATCACAGTAAGTTTGCAGTATGACGTAACAGTCCACTCAATAAAATTCTCTACCAAATGACGGAGGATGATAAGTGTTATAAATCAAGTTAAAGTATATGCTGTCGGTTTTACGTGGAACGAATAAACTGTCAATCAATATTCTAGTCACGGGTAAATTACAAGTTCACTTCGGCCAATTTGCCATTAAAGAGCACTTAAACATCTTCCTTCAACCTACGCTATTTGGACATTAAGTTGTGGGTCTAATACATATTTCTCTCAAATGTTCAATGGAAGTCAACTTAAAGAGGTATTATCTCCTGAATAAATGCTGATTCAGCTGATGAAGCTTATTGTCAACTGTAGTTGTATCAATATTCAGGATAAAATTAGGACCATCGCCTACATTTGAATCCAATGTACCCGTGGCTTTCCACGAAGATTTACATATCGAGATATTTAATAAGCTACAAACCAGGAAGTTAACCTTTTAAACGACTTTTAAACAATGGTACACACGTCGATAACCAATATCCGCTCTACTTTGTTATAATTATGTCTTTCTCGAAACAAGGAATCATCTCACTCTAGGTTGTTGAAACTAGCGTAGGCCTATCCACTCTCTGATACTGTCTGTGGAATGTTCATTACAATTCAACAACTTGATACCCATTTCGTTTAGTGTCTTGAACTATTGCGTCCAGTCTCTGATACTGTTTGTAGATTGCCCATTACAATTCAACAGATGTTTAAAAGAGATAGACTTACAGTTAATGAATCTAACGACCTTTCTTTTCAACGTGAATAAAACATTGGTCATGTCATTTGGTCTCTGTAAATTATAAATCGAAGTTGACTATTACTGATACCGGAACAAAGAAAGTTTCAATGTCTTCTGAGAATAAACCAACGGATCTGTTTTATTAACATTGTTATTCCGAGCTTCCCATGGCGGCACCAAAACAACCAACGAGACAATTAAGATGAGTCTTAGAAGCACATGTTAATTAGAGGCGATAAATAGTTGACTAATTGACAATCTATATTCAACACTGTCTCTTCTTCAGCTTAGTTCCTCAGATAACTTGCAGGCAATTTAATATTCCCACAGGCACTCGCATAAATGTAAACATGTTTCCTTTAGGAATGGAACGAGAAGAAATGTTGAGCCACATGACCAATCCTATCCAACAGACTAAAAGATAGAGCTTAGCACATTGCCAGTCTACTGAAAGGGGGGGAGGGGGAGGGGGCGGCGCGAATAATCTCCGAGAAAGCATTTTCGTCTACATCAATCTTAATTGATCATTTTTGAGGAAACTGATAAATAATTTTGATAGCACGATGCTGTAAAAAACGAAGAAAATCATTGCACTGGAAGAATAATGACTTTTTGAAGACAAAATGCAATGCGATCGCCCCAATAAAAGCTCGCTTAAACTCAATTTATACTTCACTGAAATTGATTAAGATGAAATACTAGAGTATTAGCTACATGATACAAATAACCAAATCTAATTATAAATAACGTCAAAAGGTCACTTTGATCTAATTGAATTACCGCCCTTTATCATGAATTATAAGGATGCGTTCTATGACGTCCGCTCTGTAAGCATGTTATTAATAGCTTTAACTCCAGGCTTTCCGTATCAGTAATTTAATCA